CGCGTGTGAGCGAGACTGAGCGTGAGAAAGTGAGAGAGCGCGTGTGAGAGAGAGACTGAGCGTGAGAAAGAGTAAGAGAGTGCGTGTGAGAGCAACTGAGCGTGAGAAAGTGAGAGAGTGAGTGTGAGAGAGACTGAGCATGAGAAAGTGAGAGACAGCGTGTGAGAGCGACTGAGCATGAGAAAGTGAGAGTGTGTGTGAGAGACTGAGCGTGAGAAAGAGCGAGAGAGTGCGTGTGAGAGAGACTGAGCGTGAGAAAGTGAGAGTGCGTGTGAGAGAGACTGAGCGTGAGGAAGTGAGAGAGCGTGTGTGAGAGAGACTGAGCGTGAGAAAGAGAGAGTGTGTGTGAGAGAGACTGAGCGTGAGAAAGTGAGAGAGTGCGTGTGAGAGACAGAGAGAGTGAGAGTGAGTGTGAGGGAGTGAGAATGAGGGTGAGTGTGAGACTGAGTGTGAGACAGACGGAGAGCGAGTGTGAGAGAGTGTGAGAGTGAGCAAGTGACCGCATGTGTGAAGGAGTGAGGAGAGCGAGCTGTGCACACTGAGCTCAGAGGCCCCTCTCCTACACTCCCTGTGTGTGACCAGGTGACAAGGGTGCCCTCTTCTGACCCCATGGGGACCGCCAGTCGGGCAGGCATGAAGACTCCGTCTAGGACCCACTGGGCCCGATAAAGCAGGAGCAGCGGGTGCTCACCTGGTCAGGGAAGGCCCAGGCTCTGCTGGGACAGTCCAGGGGTCCGGTTACATAGCAGGGGGTGGAAGGAAAGGGTCCGGGCGAATTCTCCATGATGAGACCAGCCTTGTTGAGCTGTGGACACCCGGCTCAGGCCCTGCCAGGACAAAGCCCTGGCCTGGTAGAGACGCTGCTTAGGCCCTCGCTCCAGCCTAGGTCCACGCCCTCACAGGTCTTCCCTGCATCATGGCTGGAGAGGGCACCCCCCAAACCAGGTACTCAGGGTCACAGCGAGCAGAGGTGGAGGGGCACAGAGACACCACGAGAGCAGGGGGCACGGGCTTTCGGGTGGAGGAGTGGGCCCCGCTGTGCTCTGAGCCACGGGGAGGAATGGGCTGCTCCCCTCCTCACTGTGGAGGGCACATGTGGGAAAGCGAGGCAGGAAGCCTGCTGGCGATAAAGGCAGGTCACCAGTTCACACCAGTGCAGGCTGCGTGGGGCCCAACCAAACGTGCTGGAGTGCCGGCCGGCGAGTCCTCCTCCGAGGCCAGGTGCGCAGCGTAATCACTTTCACGGACACCAGGCAGCTCACAAGCGACCCTGGGACTTTGTCCTCCTCCCCAGAACGTGCTGGTGGACACTTGCCAGGAGCCGACATGAGCCGCCCAGCCACCCTCCTCGCTGTGGCTCTGGTTGCCCTGCTGGCTCCAGGGGCTGGGATGCCCGGCGGCAGGTGGGGGTCCCAGAACAAGCCACTGCTGGTGTCCTTCGATGGCTTCTATTGGAGCTGCGATCAGGACGTGGACACCCCCAACCTGGACGCCATGGCGCGTGACGGGGTGAAGGCGCACTACATGACCCCCGCCTTTGTCACCATGACCAGCCCCTGCCACTTCACCCTGGTCACCGGTGAGTGCCGGCCTCACACAGGGTGTGGGGGGAGGGGAGAGGCTTGAGGAACCGGGGGCCAGCAGAAGGAACCCCAGTGCTCACGGGGCCCCAGTGCACAGAGCTCTGTCCCAGGCACCATGCGGGGACAAAGAGGGACACAGCCCTTGATCCAAGGAGAAGACACCTTCACTAGGGGTCATGTGACCAGCCAAGGAAACCATTAAGACTGTTCAGAGTCAAATGACCGAGGGCAAGCTAAAAGCACCTGGTGGCCTCCTTAAATGGGTGCTCGAACTCAGGACGGCAGTCCAGGAGGACTTCCTGTGGGAGGAGGCAAGTGGGAGTGGGGAGATGGAAGGACAGGAGATGAGCCCGCCACTTCTGCTGCTTTCCCACATCTTGCCTCACTGCGTATCTGGAACCTGATGGGCACCCTGCCCAGCTTCCTCCTCTCCTCCCCCTTCCTGTCCTTGCTCCGCATCTGCCTCCCAAGCCCCTGACAGATCTACCCAGGCTTCCTTGTCTTTTAACAAATCAAAACCAAACTGGCTGCCATCGAGCCGATTCCAACTCATAGCTGACAGGGCAGAACTGCCCCTTCGGGTTTCCGAGGAGCGGCTGGTGGATTCAAACTGCTAACCTTTTGGTTAGCAGCTGAGCTCTTAACCACTGTGCCACCAGAGCTCCACCCCTTGTCTGTTAAAGCTTTTTAAACAGACAATGCAGACACAAGGTTTCTTTAAAAAAAACAAAAACAAAAACTCCAAGCTGTGCAAAAGGGTGTTAGAGAGCATTAGTCTCCCGGGGGCCGCCATCTCAAAGTCCCACAAAGTAGGTGGCTTTAAACAACAGAAATGTATCCTCTCACAGTTCTGGAGGCTGAAAGTCCAAGACCAGGGTGTCGGCCATGTTGATTCCTTCTGAGGCTCTCAGGGAGAACCTGTCCTTGCCTCTCTCCCAGATGCTGGTGGCCGCAGGCGTTCCTTGGCTGCACCGTCACATGGTGTCCTTCCTCCATCCCGTCTGTGTCTCTCCTCTTTCATAAGAATGCCAGTCAAGTAAGATTGGGACCATCGCGCTCCACATGACCTCATGTTAACCTACCTGACAACATCTTCAAAGACCCTATTTCCAAACAAGGTCACATTCACAGGTATGGTTGTTAGGACTTCAACATGTCTTTTGGGGGACACAATCCAATCCGTAAAAGAGAGTGAAGAGCAGCCCCCCTCCTGTCCCATCCCTGCCTCCCAGCCTCTCCCCAGGGGCGCAGCTGCTGCCACTTCCGCCACCACATCCCCTTCTGCACGCGGGGGGCTGGAGGGCCACAGCGTCGTCCTGCACTTCCCGGCCGGCATGTAGCCTTCACCCCCCTCCCTTTGTAACTTTCTTACCTTTGGAAATTGGGAGCGTGTGCTTGCACTTCCTATTCAGAAAACATATCTTAAAAATGCCTCATGGAGCTGCACTTCGTTCTCTTTCATCCCCGCCTAGGATTCTGTTTATGGCAGGACCACGGTTTGTTTAACGAAGTCCTCCCTGATAGCCATCCAGGTCGCTCCCAGTCTCTCTGTAAAGCAGACGAGGTAGCACAGGCCCTCCCCACAGGCGTCTCTCCGTGCACAGGGCACACTCTCTGCCGGGGAAATTCCTGAAAGTGCAAGTGGAGTGGCTGGGTCACACGAAAACACTGCAGCTGCTGTTAAGCCTCTGAGTGGCCTCAACCCTCCAACCTTTCAGTTAGCAGCTGGGCATTTTAACCATTTGCACCACCCAGAGACTCCTTGGATCAGGGAGTTGTACCTTTTTGCTGTGAGCCTGACAAGAAGCGCTGGCTCCCCACGCAGTGCACGAGAAGGTCTGCTCGGTTCCCCAGCCTGCCTCCCTACCCAAAGCTCAGGGGATCTCTCCCGGCCCTGCTTCCCTGCTTCCCTGCTTCCCGAGTCCCTCTCGACACCCCTGTGCGCTCTCCTCCCGCTGCAGGCCGGCACCTGGAGAATCACGGGGCTGTGCACAGCATGTTCTACGATGCCACTTCCAAGGTGAAGCTGCCGCACCGCTCCATGCTGGGCATCGAGAGCCGGTGGGACAACGGCAGCGTGCCCATCTGGATCACCGCTCAGAGGCAGGTCATACCACCTGCGCCCACGCGGACGCCAGCGGGAGGAGCCTGGGAGACCCCCACAGACCCCTCTGTGGGGGGGGGCTCTGGCATCAAGTGGTGCTAAGGGGGGCGGTGGTGGCTGTCCATGTGGACAGACTGCTGGGCTCACTCTGGTCTCAGGCTCAAGGCCAGGGACACAGTCCTGCCCAGATCCACCATGGGGCCCTCCCTGGGGTGTGGGACCAAGAAAGATGGCTCCCAGCCTGGGGGGAACCTGGCCCGTGGACCCTGAGGCATGAGAGGCGCCCACCCTGCACAGGGAGACATGTGTGACTCAGCAAGAAAGCATTTAAAAAGAAAATGGCCTCAGGGCTTGCCTTTCCCACATCTTCTCCTGGCTGAGAAGTGCAATTCTGAGACCAAAAATCAATTGGGGGGTGGAACATGAGCTCAGTGCCCCCCACCTTGCAATGCTCCATGCGTCAGGCCCCAGGAGAAACCTCCACCCTCAGAGCCAAATGGAAGTGTTCATGATGAGCCAGGCCCACACCCACCTGAGCGCCAGTGTGCCCACTCAGATGGAGTCCCCTGGCTTGGGAAGGGTCTCAGCAAAGCCCTCGCCGGCTCCTCTGCAGGAAGGCCAAGCCTGGAACTCGGCGTCCGACCCCACGCGTGCCGTGGGCGTTCAGTCTAAGGAGAAAGCAGCTTCGGGGAGCGGACAGACAGGCGGAGGCCTGGTGGACAGGACAGATGGACTCCCAAATAACACAGCCGCTGGTTTCCGGAAAGATAAAGAGCCCACCAGACTGAAGGCTGGGAGGGCAGGTGGGCAGAGACATGGGTGGACAGACAGACAGACACACGCGGGGATGGGAGCCCAGGGGGGAGAGCCGGCTGCAGGTCAGGGGGGCGGGCCAGTGGCCTCGGGCCACGATGACGAGGAGGACACTGCATGTCTGGGGACACTTTTACTTCACCACCTTATTTGTCCTGGAGCCCACGGGGCCCTGGCTGCCCCTATAACAGCTTTCACTTCCATTAAATGTAAGATAAAAGATACGGCAAAAAGAAAAAACCAAACCCACTGCCGTCGAGTTGATTCCGACTCACAGCGACCCCACAGGACAGAGGAGAACTGCCCTGGGGTTTCCAAGGAGCAGCTAGTGGATTCGAACTGCCGACCTCTTGGTTAGCAACCAATGTTCTTACGCACTGCGCCACCAGGGCTGGCAGGAAAGTAGGGCATTGCAGGTGGGAGGGTGGCTGTGCCAGGGAGCCCGGGACAAGCACAGCGTGTGGACCCTGGGGTCCCGCGGCCCTGACACCTCCTCGCCGGACAGGGTCTAAAGACTGGCTCCTTCTTCTACCCCGGCGGGAATGTCACCTACCAAGGCGTGGCGGTGACGCAGAGCCGCAGGGAGGGCGTCCTGCACAGCTACAAGGATGAGCAGGAATGGAGGGCCAACATCGACACTGTGATGAGGTGGTTTACCGAGGATGGCCTGGACCTGCTCACCCTCTACTTTGGGGAGCCTGACTCCACCGGCCACAAGTTCGGGCCCAAGTCTGCAGAGCGGAAGGAGGTCGTGGGGCAGGCGGACCAGACAGTGGGCTACCTGTGTGAGCGCATCGAGCAGAGTGGCCTGGCCGGCAGCCTCAACCTCATCGTCACGTCCGACCACGGCATGACCACCGTCGACAAGACAGCTGGCGACCTGGTGGAGTTCCACAAATTCCCCAGCTTCACCTTCAAGGACATCGACTTTGAGCTGCCCAACTACGGGCCCAACGGGATGCTGCCGCCCAAGGAGGGGCAGCTGGACAAGGTGTACGAGGTCCTCAAGGACGTGCACCCCAGGCTCCACGTCTACAAGAAGGAGTCGTTCCCCGAGTCCTTCCACTACGCCAACAACCCCCGGATCACACCCCTGCTCATGTACAGTGACCTCGGCTACGTCACCCATGGAGTAAGTGGCCGCTGGCCCCGCAGCCCACAGAGGGGCCCCTCCACTAGGCTGCTGGGTCTCTTTCTATTTGGCACAGAAAAAGCAGCACCTATGTTTAGCAGAGCCCTGGTGGCACAGTGGTTAAGCTCTCGCCTGTGAACCAAAAGGTTGGTAGTTCAAACCCACCAGCTGCTCCTTGGAAACCCTATGGGGCAGTTCTGTTCTGTCACATGGACTCACTATGAGTTGGAATCAACTCAACGACACACAACATTTTTAGCAGGAGTCCTGGGGTGGTACAAATGGGTAATGTGGTTGGCTGCTAATGGAAAGGTTGGAGGCTTGAGTCTGCCCAGAGGCACCTCAGAAGAAAGGCCTGGAAATCTACTCCTGAAAAATCAGCCATTGCAAACCCTACGGAGCACAGTTCTACTCTGACACATGTGGGGTTGTGATGAATTGGAGTCGACTCAACAGCAGCTGGTGTTTTTAGGGAGGCCCCCAATTTGAAAGGCACGTCAGCCACCCAAAGGACACATCCATCACTACGCAGTAGGGGTGTGTGTGTTTAGGGTGAGTGTGGGGACGTCCAGCCTAAGCGGGGCAGGAAGGAGCAAGGCAAGAACAGGGAGCCTGAACCCCCACTGGCAGGGAGCCACAGGGGCGCTGGGGAGGGAGGGCACAAGCTGGGGAGAGAAGCCAGGGTCCCAAGGAGGCATGGTGCACAGCCCCAGGCTGGCTGCTTGACCCCGTCTCCTGGGGGCCCCTATTCATCTCACAAGGTCTCCACACCTGCTCTCTCTTTGGGGGACAGATCTCTGGGGCTCAGAATTCAGTGAAACTGTCTCCAGATCCCTCCCGCTCCTTCGTTTTATTCCTCCATGTCCTCTGCCCAGCCCGGGCACCCGCGCCCTCCCCAGGACCATGGTAGAGCAGGTGGGGGCGGCTGGGAGGGCTGATGGCCCCTGCAAAGAGCCCAGAGCCCCCTCCCCTGCAGAGAATGAACGTCCAGTTCAACAATGGGAGCACGGCTTCGACAATGGGGCGCTGGACATGAAGACCATCTTCCGGGCTGTGGGCCCCAGCTTCAGGACGGGCCTGGAGGTGGAGCCCTTCGAGAGCATCCATGCATAGGAGCTCATGTGCACCCTGCTGGGCATCGCCCCGAGGCCAACGACGGAGCCTCAGCACTCTCCTGCCCCTGCTCCGCCCAGACCAGGGCAGCACGCTGTCCCCCTCCACCGCTCCCACCTGCCGCTCCCCAGCTGGGCCCACTCTGCCACCCAGTGGCTGCACAGGTGTGTGCCTGTGTGTGCACAGGTGTGTGTCTGTGTGTGCACCAGGGCACCCCGCTGCAGGCCTCACAGGCTGATGGGGCCGGCCTTGACTAGCAGGGGGACCCAGGGTCAGAGGGGTGGCTGGTTGGCCTGAGGCCACAGGCCTTCACGTAGTCAAGCTGCTCTCTCCAGCGCAGCTCTGTGAGGGGTTCCGTTCTGGAAAGTCTCCTCCATCAGTCTCCCTCACACACATACACGCATAGACACCCCACTTCTGAGGGGCAAAGGTCAGCTCAAAGTTGCCAAGATGGCTCGCCCCAGTGGCACCTGGCTGGGGCTGGACAGGCCCTACTGGGCAGGGCTGGGAGGGGCCAGCAGAGCTGGACAGAGGGACAAAGGGAGGGTGGTGGGCAGTAACGTCAGGGGCTCACAGGGCTGTGCAGGGCGGGGTGTGTGTGTTTGTGAAGTGCCACCCCTCCCCCACTCACTCCACTTTCCACCTCCCTTAGGGGCTGCTCTCCAGTCCAGCAGCCGGCCCCCCTTGGTGATGGGGCTGATGGTGGCCACAGTCCTTCTGGTCAAGACCACGTAACGCCCCACGGCTCAAGGTCAGAGGCTGGAGGGGAGGGGGAGGAGGGAGGGTGGCGCTGAAACCCCCTCAGGAAGCCAGAACAGAGCTGCCAGCCACCGACTGAGCGGCCCACTGCCACTGAGAGACAGGGGACCCCGGGCCAGGCCTCTGTCAGTCTCTGTGCTTTGCTGCTGTTGTTGTTGGGTGCCATCGAGTGGTTCCGACTCATAGCAACCTGATGTACAACAGAATGAAGCACTGCCCCGTCCTGTACCATGCTCACAATCGTTGTTATGCTTGAGCCCGTTGTTGCAGCCACTGTGTCAATCCATCTCGTTGAGGGTCTTCCTCTTTTTCGCTGACCCTCTACTTTACCAAGCATGATGTCCTTCTCCAGGGACTGGTCCCTCCTGATAACATGTCCAAAGCATGTGAGACGAAGTCTCACCATCCGTGCCTCCAATGAGCACTGCTTCTATCACCAGTCATGTGGTCTACTGTGTCGGGAAGGACAAATTGAAGAGGAATGGCCTTACGTTCGTCGTCAAAAAGAACATTTTAAGATCTATCCTGAAGTACAGTGCTGTCAGCGATGGGATAATACCCACACGCCTACGAGGAAGACCAGTTCATATGACGATTATTCAAATGTATGCACCAAGCACTAAGGCCAAAGATGTAGAAACTGAAGATTATCACCAACTTCTGCCGCGTGATTTGAGCGAACACGCAGTCGGGATGCACTGACAATGACTGGTGATTGAAATGTGAAAGCTGGAAAGAAAGAAGGATGAGTAGTTGGAAAATACGACCTTGGGGACAGAAATGACGCTGGAGATCGCATAATAGAATTTTGCAAGACCAACGACTTCTTCATTGCAAGTACCTTTTTTCACCAACATAAACAGCAGCTCTACACGTGGACCTCGCCGGATGGAGTACACAGGAATCCAGTCCACTACATCTGTGGGAAGAGAGGATGGAAAAGCTCAGTATCAGCTGCAGAACAAGGCCAGGGACCGACTGTGGAACAGACCATCAATTCTCTGCTTTAGGCTTGGAATTAAAAAACCAAAAAAACAGTTGACATCAAGTTGACTCACGGTGACCCCATGTGTGTCGGGGTAGAACTGTGCTCCCCAGGGTTCTCAGTGGCTGATTGTTCAGAAGTAGATCGCCAGGTCTTTCTTCTGAGGCACCTCTGGGTGGACGGAACCTCTTACCTTTCAGTTAGCTGCTGAGCGCATTAACCGTTTGCGGCCCCCAGGGACTCCAGGCTTTGAGTAGGTATTTCCAAAGCAGACAGCCAGGTGCCCCCAGGCAATCCCACTGCCCCCAGAAACCAGGGCAGTCTTCAGAGTCTCCCAGAGCTGCCTGCCTCCCCTCCTGCCTGCCCAGGTCTCCGTCTTCCCTGGGGACAATGGAAAACTCAGAAGCCCTCTCGTTGGTCATGTCTGGGAGGAGGGCTGCAAAGGTGGGTTCCTGGAACACACCCGGGAACCATCCCCCAGGGCACCGTCCTGATGGCTGGGTGACAGTCCCCCCTTGCTGGTCTGCCTGAGAAGTCACCGCCCTTCTGGTCAGGGCAGAAGAAAGTCACTCATTCTTTCTAAAACATGTCACAGGAGCCACCATCAGTCAGCAGCAACCAGGGGGATGTGGCTCACCACCTGGACATCCTGGGCTGGCCTCTAGGGGCGTGGTCTGGACTGGCGATTTAAATTTGAGGTGTGTCCGCATACTGATGACATTTCATACCATGGGACAGGATGATGTTCTCCCCCATCAAGACAGCATAGATTCGGAAGAGGGCCCACACCTGGGCCATGGTCACCACACCAGAGAAGGAGCGGCCAGCGAGGGGTCGGGAGATCAGGGCATCCAGGGCAAAGTATTTCCAGAAGGAAGAACGTGAGGATGTGTGCGGTGGGGAGGGAGGCATTCATCGCCCCATGTCACAGCTGGAAGGAACTAGAAGGATGGATTCAACCAACCGGTCCTCTACAGATGAGGACGCGGGACGTCAGGGAAGTTAGCTGGCTGGTCCAAGGGCACCAGAAAGCGGCGGGGCTGTGTGTGAATGCTGGTGTTTCAGTTTCGGTCCTGAGTACTTTCGACCAGGACTCTCCATCCCACTGCTCCCGGGGGGTCCGGTCCTTGAAGTGAGTCTGCCGGCATAAGGCAGGGATGTAATAAGATTTCTGAGACCCTGTACCGTCCACAAAACACATCCACAGGCATTTGTTCTCCACCAGAAAGTAAGAGTTGGGCTCAGCAGATGTCATTGAGACTTCACAGGCAAGGAAACTGAGGCACAGAGAAGAGGCCGCCACGTGAACCTCTACCGTTCTCGGGGTTCCCCAGAGGAACAGAGGTTTCTTCAGTGGTATGTAGAGAAACAGTGTTTAGATACGGCCCTAGCTCTCCAGACCACCCACCCCACCCCAAAAAAGCCCTGGTTTGTGGTCTTTGCCCATTTCCACGGTGTAAATAACCCCACCACAGCCAATTTCAAGTCCCTGGGTGGTGCAAAGAGTTAATGCAATCCACTGCTAACTGAAAGGCTGGAGGTTCAAGTCCACCCAGAGGTACATCGGAAGAACGGCCTGGCAATCTACTTCCAAAAAGCCAGCCATTGAAACCCCTATGGAGAACCGTTTGACGCATGTGGGGTCCCACGAGTCGAAGCTGACTCTGCGGTAACTGGTGACTGGTAATGTGGTGTTGCTGAACACCGGGCTGGGAGGAGATTCACCGAGTCAGCTCTCAGGAGCAGTACCTGGCAGCCCCCACACACCGACACCCGAGAGCGGTGACGCTCCCCGGTTTAGACTTCTCCGCACAGCAGTGTGGTCAGTTTGGAACCAGGGCTACTGACCGTGGGCCGGTTTCTTTTCTCCAAAGGTGAGGCCAGACGGACCGGCCAGGCATCAAAGACAACGTTGCCTTACCAGCACAGTGCTTTGCTGTGGCTAACAGCGTCCTCACAGACAGAACCGCAGGCAGAGGATGGGGAGACTGAGGCACATGGAAGCTCCCAGGAAAGGCCACCCCCTCTCCTCAGAGCCATTCCCCAGCCAAGCCTAGGTCAGTGCCCCTTCCCCTCCGGCCCACACGTCTCCACCTCAGCCGGCACCTTCTCCACCATGTCACGCTGAGGGTCAGGAAGTCTGCCCGGAGCCCTGCACCGTCACTGGCCCACCATCTGCCCAGCCGATCTCCCTGACTCCCTCCTGTCGTCCCCGCACCCATACTTCACTTCGTCCCCCAGACCCTGCCAGGTTCCTTCCTCCCGCCCTATACACCGTGTTTGTTCTTCCAGGCTCGCTTCTTCCAGGAAGCCTCCAGAAGCTGCCCTTCGCATAAGGCTCCAAAGTGCCCTGTGACGGTCCGCCCACATGAGCCTGTCCCCCCGGTTTACTGCATGCGCCTCGTGTCTCTGCCCCCCACCTCCTTACACCTCTGCCCCCTCCCCTTATACCTGCGTCTCTTCCTTATTCCTCCGTCTCCCCCCCTTACGCCTCTGTCCCCCATACCTCCATTCTCCCACCCCGTGTGCTTTTTGTCCACCCCCCACACCCCCGGAGAAAACACATGGGCAAACGGGACTCCAAATGTGATGAGCGCTTTATGGCAGTCGGATAACGTCGTGCTTGACCACCGTGCGGCCGGCAATAACCCTCGTGCTCGAGTTGACTGCTCCGCGCCCCGGGTCGGAGTCCCGC